TTGAAAAATATGTTAATCTCATTTTTGTATATAAATTTATTGAATTTAGATTTAATTGTATAATTGATAATTGTACAAAAACATTTGTTAATAAACAAAATCTTGATCGACATATTAGAATAGCTCATAAAAAAACAAAACTAAAACCAATTAAAGTAAATTGAAATATAATTTATTTTATTTATTCAATTGTAATATTTTTAGTGTTTATATTGTTTTGATTATGTTGAATCATTAGAATCACATTTAATTGTTAAACATAATTCAACTTCAATAGATAAATTAAAGTAGAAATTTTTATATTTATAATCATTCAAAAAAAAACAAAACAATATGTTTTTGTTTAGATGCCTTGACTGTTCTAAAGAATTTTCATCAATAAAAAGTTTGATTCATCATCGTATTATTCATACAGGTATGAATAATTATTTTCAGAAAAGTAAAAAAAACAAAAAAGAAGGATTTTATAATTAAATTTAGATCATCCATTGGCCTTTGCGCGTTACATACGGTTAGTAAAAGGTTGGGTGACCACCTTTGAAGACCGTCAATGGGTGTATATGATATATAAATTGTAAAAACTTTTTCCATTGGTATTTAGACGAACGTCGAGAACTCGATGTTCAATGGACAATGAATCGATTATTAGATGAAATAGAACGAAAACAAGGTAAATAAAAATACAGAATGTCCCCAATGTCACACTATATAAAAAGAATCTGTCGGTACAGTTCGCGCAGGATTGAAATGTGAAACGCGATGCGTCTGCTACGGCTAAATACATGAAATGACTTTATTATATTTTGAAGTATACTTCATCATCCTTTTACTTAATCCTTCAAAAATGCCATTAGCAAGTAATAGCGAGGCGTTATTGATAAATAATCTTTAATCAGATATCAGCAACATGTATCTGATGTTCCACAAATTTTGAATATCTTATGGTTCTATTAGATGAAATGGCAATAGAAGATACTTTCAAATACTCCTGCACAGTAGTACTTGTAGGTTCAATACATAATAAAGTCCTTTTTCAATTTAAAGAAAAATAATATGTCGAGTTCTTCTTATATTTTTTTCATTATTGTAGGTAAGAAACTTTGATGGAAGATGCATTGAGCTAAGTGATGGGTTTTTTTTTACAGTTTTCATAGTGATCAAATTTGAGATCCAGATGTATCAGATACACGTTTATAAAGGAAGAAAAGGAGGCCCACAATAATCATAAACGTCGTTAGTGTAACTTCTCAAGGGTTAAAATATGAAGTCCAATGTAGCTTTTGTTACTAACCAAATGGAGATTGTTTGATTCTATTTATTTTGGAACACATTTCTTCGCCATCCTTTCACTTAATCCTTCAGAAATACAATAACGAAGTAGGTCACCTGAGGTAATCAGACGTTATTTATATATGGTCTACAATCATATATCAACATCTGTGACACGAGAAAGGGAGAGTGTCGCCGGATTCAGCAGGAGAGATGCGGGAAAATTCACCGTATCCTGCAGGAGAACATCGGAAGTCGCCGGAACAGGGTGGCAGTATGCTGGCCGGAAAATTTTCGGATTTTTTCCGGCCGGAATACTGCTACACTGTTTCGGCGACTTCTGGTGTTTTTCTGTCGAAACCCGCTCGTACTTCTCGAACTGGGCTATGTTTGAATATAATTGTAGATCGTATTTTACAAAAACTGAAGAAGTATAAGAAAAAAATTAAGGTACTAGAAAAAATTTAATAATTAACATACGTTTATTAAACTTTATTGGATATTGAACCTGAAGTACTATTTCGTAGGAGTATTTGGAAGCAACCGCTATCAATAGTTTATCCAATAGAAGTCTAACGAAGATATTCAAACATTTTTTTGTTGTATAGTGACTTTGGGGACAACTATTAGAAGTGATTGTTTTAAAATAATATAAATTTTAGTGTTTAAATGTGATTTATGTGATCGAATATTCCGTTCATTATTTCAACTTGATCAACATCGCAATAGTAAAATTCATCAAGATGAATTTATATGTCAACATCCGAATTGTGGAAAACGATTTCTTTATATGAGAAATCTTCGACATCATATCAAGTAAATTTCTTTTGTTTTTGAAAAAATAAATAATAAAAAGAATTTTCTATTTAGAATTCATCATGAAAATATTTCACGTTTATCATGTCCAATGAATTCTTGTTCAAAAACATTTACATGTCAAGCATCAATTTGTCGACATTTAAGTAAATGTCATTCATCTAATGATATTATTGAACAAATAAATATTAGACAAAAACAAAGTCATCATCGAAAATCCAATATTCAAAGTTTATTAAGTGGTTTTAATAGTCGAAAACTTAATCAAGAAAATGAAATTTCAAAACAAATGAAATATTTATTAAAACTTTTATTAACTGAAGATAATCGCGTACAAATACCCGATGAAAATATGGATATAACTATTAATGATAATTCATTTGATCAAGATTTATTAAATGGTTATCGTGATATTGGACTTGTTGAATTATAATTGTTATTGTTATTGTTTTTTATTATTTTTGTTTGTTTTTCTGTTATTGTTATTGTTTTCTTTTTATTTTTTTGTTTGTTTTTCTGTTATTGTTTCACGTTTAGAGATTTTAGTATTAAAAATTTGTTATTATTTTTTTTTAGATATATAAATTTTGAAAGGAAAATTTTATCGGAAAACAACAATGGCCGAAGTAAAACCAGTATGTATTTCGTTTTATCATTATATTTTATACTATTAAGTTATTAGGAAAAAATTTCTATAGATTTTGTTGTCTAACAGAAAATTAAATGAAGAATTTTTAATAATTTTAAATCTTATTTTCGATCTAAATATACTTTCTTTTAAAGATAGAATAATTAGAATTTTTCATATATATAATCAGTGTATATCCAACTTTTCTTTGACGAAAGAGCAAATACCTATTTTCAAAATAGGGATACAGGACGTCATACTATAATGATTAACTCCAGGAGGGTCGCTACCTTTGCAATGAATAAAGCAGTATAAAATGATTTTTTTTTCTTCATCAAAAGGAGAATAAAACTTCGTCACATTCTTCATCAAGGTTAGATTCTGCCGTATGCACTTATTTTTATCTCATACACAAAAAAACAAAAATCAATATTTGCTATTGAGTTCTATATTAGAAACGAATGAGAGAAGTTAATTTTTGAAATAGTTTTAAAAGAACAAAAATATCCAAAAGCAAATTTTGTTGATTCATGTATATTTCATGAATTAATTTTATGGATATTTTTGGCTTGTTTTGTTTTTTTTTTCACTCAAACACTTAGTATTTCGAACGTATAGAATCGTGCATAATATGCACGTAGTATTGCATTCGAACATCCCATTTTCTTCAGATAATATTAACGAATATGGAATCATTACCAGAATTACCACCGGATACTGAACCACTTGAACATCAAGTTGCTGGACATTTTTATGGTCGATCAAAAACAAAATTTGGTTTATTACAACGTTGTTCAACAGGTGATGTGCTTAAACCATTACTTAATCCACCACGTGGTCCACGTGAACAGAAATTTTATCTTTATATGTTTTCTGATAAAACTTCCAACGAACTTCTTGGACTCCGATCATTTCTACCGACATTATTAGGTACATATCAATTTGCTAGTATGTCTTATTTAATATTAGAAAATATCATTCGATCATATAAATATCCATGTATTATTGATATAAAACTTGGACGAATAACTTATGATTGTGAAGCAACACCAGAAAAAATTGAACGACAAATAGGAAAATTTCAACCAGCAACTGAAATTGGTTTTCAATTACTTGGATGGAAAACTTATCGAAAATTAAATAGTGCATATATTTATCATGATAAACGTTGTGCACGATCATTGACTAAACATGAACTTATTTATGGTTTAGCACATTTTTTTGGTGCACCTGAATATGATCATCGTCCATATGTACGAGCTGTACTTGAACGTCTTGTTGTTCTTGAAAATATTATGTCCAAACAATATGAATTTGTTTTTATTGCATCATCAATTTTGATTGTCTATGATGGTGATCATAGAGAAAATTCAAATGATATTAAAGTTGATGTTCGTCTTGTTGATTTTGCTCATGTTTTTCCATCATCATCTAATACAGAACCTGATGAAAATTTTCTTTTTGGCCTTCGTCATTGTATGGAATATTTAAGAATGTTAATTGATGAAAAATTTCATTATATAGCTATTGATAAATTAGAACATAATACTAATTTATCTGATTTAAATTGTTATGAGACATTATTTAAATAATTTCTTATTGTTGTTATTATCCTTTCTCATGTATAACGATAAATCTATATTTGTTCGAACAGTAAAAATTTTCTCTCAAAAAAATATCAAGAGAAAAGAAACAAAAGAAATTGAATGATTTTGTTGTTAAATTATAGTCTAATTCTAGACACACAAAGCCGAATATCCAGTTGATTATGATTTGGAGGAGCAGAAAAAAAAACCACATGCTGCATGTGATTTACTTCGATATGATTTAAAAATGTGTTTATTGGCTAGTGATTGTTGTAAAGTAATAAATCTACTATAGTGGTTTTTTTTAATTAAATAAAAAGAAAAGTTTTGATTTCTAGCTTGGACATACACCAAAAGAATGTCTTTCGAATGAAAAGTTACGTGAATTTGTTCCTGATGAATGTCGACGTTTAGCTTATACATTTTTTGAATGTAAACGATCAATGGTAACACGAAAAATTTTGATTGATATTGAATTGTTTTCTTTTTTTGTATAAATTCTCTAGATTGATATGCGTGCTCGATTTCGTGGTCGTAAAGGTGAAATATATTAAATAGGACTTTATGTTACTGTATTTGTTCTTATTAGTCCTTCTTTCATTTTCTTTTTGCATAAACAAGTTATTGAAAAAATTAATCTTTTTGTTTTTTCATGACGTATCAGGCATTGACATTTATACTTTCAGATTAATTCCATCATTATGTTTGCTCAACGTTTTACTAGTATAGTATCACGAAGATATGTATCAACAGTTGCTGATCTCTATAAAGGACTGATTAATGGTGATCGAGGTTGTTTAGCAAGAAGTATTACATTAGTAGAATCAACTCATCACGAAAAACAACAAAAAGCAAAGGAATTACTTGGTCAAGTTTTACAAGAACTTAAACAACGACAAGAAAAACAACCAAAGACACCGATTAGTTTTAGAATAGGTATGACAATGAAATGATAAAAGAAATTATATGTGTAATTTTATTTCTTTCTATAGGTTTATCCGGAAGCCCTGGTGCTGGTAAATGGTAAAAGTTTATTTCTTGCTTCGAAAAAAAAAGTGTAGAATTCCTAATTTCGAAATAATTAATTAAGAAAGTTTAAATGATGAAGACAATAATATTTTTTTTCTAGGAAAATCAACTTTTATCAATGTTTTTGGTCGATTTTTGATAAATCAAGGACATAAAGTAGCTGTATTAACTGTTGATCCATCATCATCTACTACTGGAGGTAGATACAATGAATATTTTGAAACTCTTACTGAACTTTTCTATGTTGACAATTAGGTTCGATTCTCGGTGATAAAACACGAATGTTGGATCTGTCACGCGAACCAAATGCATATATTCGTACATCACCATCAGCTGGTACATTAGGTGGTGTGACTCGAACAACAAATGATGCTATTGTTCTCTGTGAAGCTGCTGGTTATAATATTATTCTAGTCGAAACTGTTGGTATGTTAGAAATTAAAATTAAAATATGACATGACATGTGAAGTTTTGTTTTCCTTTTATAGGTGTTGGACAGTCTGAATTTGCTGTTGTAGATATGGTTGATATGTTCTGTGTTTTACTTCCACCAGGATCAGGCGATGAATTACAAGGTTAGAATAAAATGAAAGCAGGCAAAGGACGATAACTGATGAAATTAGCTATCTACATAAATATAATTTCTTTCATGTCAAACTCTAACTCAAGCTGTTTCGAAGTGTTTCTTGATAGAACTAGACTTAGCTGTCGTACGTAAACTATACCTGGTTGTTAGGAGTGACTAACTCGTTTTATCTATCAATACAAAGAACGATCCGATTAGTATTTATATGATTCAATAATACTCTTCAAGCCACTAAAGGTAGTTTAAAAACATGGAGAAAAACATGCTGACCACACGAAAAAATTCCCTTCTAATCGAAATCTATTAAATCTTCGACAAAAAAAAATCATAAAATCATGTCTCAATAATAGTTTTCTGGAGGACTTCTTTGTATTGTCAGTCTTTATTCTCAATGTTATTTTTTTAATATTTTGAAGCATTCAAAAAGTTCTATCGAAGCATATGAAAATAACTTGATCATACATGACATACGTAGATAAAATGTACTGATTCTTATCAATAGTCGTGTTCAAGGTACATGTGAATAGCATCGATTATTTCAATTGACTAGTGTACAGCACAAATAAGTGCTATATGATTAATTCTATGAAAACTCATTTTCGAACATCTTGTGTGATAGTTTGATAAAGAAGAAATCGAATTTCTTTAGACAGCATTTTCAATATTTATCACAATACCTTCTTTCTTTCCTTTTCTTTATTATATGATTTTTATTTAGGTATGAAAAAAGGAATTATGGAATTAGTCGATTTAGTAATTATAACAAAAGCTGATGGAGAATTAATGCCAGAAGTTCGTCGTCTACAAACTGATTGGTCAAGTGCTCTTAGATTAATGCGTCGTCGTTCTCCACATTGGAAACCGAGGGTACATATTTTTCCTTTTTTGGCTATCTAATTATTAAATTGAATAAATTTATAAAGGTCATATCGGTTTCGTCACGTACAAATACTGGTATTGATAAATCTTGGGAACAAATGTTACAGTTTGAAACTGCAATGATTAAATCAGGTGAATTTATGACTAAACGTTCTCAACAACTTCGAAAATGGATGTGGAATAATGTAAAAGATCGAATACTTGAACAATTTTTGGACGATGAAGATATAAAAAAAGCAATTCAAACTTACGAAGAACGTGTTACTCGTGGACTTATAACACCATTTGTAGCTGCTGATGCTATTTTGACTCTTTTTGCCAAAGTAAAACTGGACAATAATACATAAATATTTATATAATAACATATAGACATGCAATATTCACTTATTTTTTATCAACTTAGAATTATTTTAGTGTAAAATGGCTATATACTAAATTCACCTCGATTGTCAGAGAAATTCAGAAAAATGCATTTTTTTCGATATCTCATTTATTAATAAATCTACGTCTCAAGTATTAGAACAAAAGGAAATTAATGAAACATATTTTAATCTGTCAACATTTGTGACTATAAAGAAGTTTTACAAGAAAAATTAAAGAATTCAATATCAGATAACATAGACACATCAGTCATTACTAAACTGGGCTCCATGAACTTCGACCTCGTTGATATTGTGGATTTCTAAGTAATCTATTCAACAATCTAACAACTGGTGTTTTCATATAAAGCATTTCAACTACGAAATTCATATAGTGCTTGTCGTTCACTGAGTCACAGTACTACTTCTCGAAATACAATTTTTTGACAAAAACGATACAACTATAATATGATCTAAATTCATACTACTTAACACTATGCTATTTTACTGAACGAAACTCTAGAACTGTAGTTTAATCTAAATGCATGCTGGTGATATGTAATTTTTTCGTAAAAATGTATACGAGTAAGCACTATGAAATGTAGTAAATACTCATAGAAATAAAGCTTTTTATTAGAGAAATTTTGGGCCGCGTCGAAAATTTCTTGAGTTGAAACTTCAACCTTTCACTACATCTTCTATCAGATTAAAAGTGTATAGTGTTCTATTATGGAAGGAGCAGTTGATATAGATTCCATCATTAGCATATTTTCTAATAAAACATTATCTATTGAATTTTGTTAATATATAAATAAACTAATGTCGATTATGTATTTATTTATGCAAATAAATAAACAACAAAAATAATCTCAAATGGACGGAAAATATTGGCTTAATACGATTTGTAACCGATACAAGAGAAATATATTGACAAGTGTTTTAGCTTCATTTACTTTTCATTCAACATTTAATATTAAATAATGTCGGCGTCAGAATTAAGGAAGGATGGGTGTAATCTCAATAACGCGATGACGATAATAGCTAGCAATCTGTGCATTTTAACAATCGAAAAAGAAGACCTCTGAACATTTCTTTTTTCAATATGATATTAAATCAAGCAGAGTTATTTTAAAACTTATCATCTTCGTAAAATTTATGAAAATGGTATTTTATGTTCAATATAATTTTAATTTTGACATGTGCTTCAGATCTATAGTTCAAGGCACGATTCAATTAGTTATCTTCTCATAATTAAGGGTTGAACAAACGAAACCACGTATATTTTCGAAATGGAACACTGTTTGCATGCATTCGTTTGAATTTTTTGAGAAGTTGATGAGTTTTACAATAATTTCGTCTTATTTAGTGTTAGACAAATATACGCCTGAAGTTCTCTTCTTCGAATTTCAGAAAGCCATACGTCACTAATTGTTGTCGTTGTTGAGTTATCCAGCTCACGCTCAATGCTCTTTAATTTTGGTGCGGATATTAATATATAAATATCTATTATTTTAAATATTTGAATTATAAGGACATCTATCATTCAGTTATTTAAACTGGTTTCCGTGTCCGAAGACATTATATGAACCATCTCTTTTTGATCTGTCGCAGTAACTCTCTTTATAATGATAATGTAATTGACAATGTTAGCCATATTATACAAAAGTAAACAAAAAAATTCTTATCATTTTGCTTTTGTAATGTATCTTGAGAGTAGGTAGTTTCAGATAAGATGAAACTATCGTACATCATGATCCAGTCTATAATATACATATTAGTTTCATGAGTAACTAAAGTAATCCGGTTGTATCTATGAGCAGCGTGACTTCTGAGCTAAATGTGTCGTTCAGACTGCTAGCAAATGTCAAATCTTTTCCTGGCTTCAATCATTGGTTTAACTGACTAAAGGCTATGATTTGTCAATTTTGTCTGTCGTCAACAGTTCCTCATGAAAGAGTATTATAGCTCAGTAATGACTACTTCTGTTTGTGTGAGAAATGCACATATTTTTTACCATTATCTTCAAAATCAAACTGTTGCACATCGCAGATACAATTACTTGCAATATGGATTCTATTAGTTGTATTTAATGCCTAGCGATAAATATTAATACATCTAGTTGTGTGAATGTTAAATCCTGTATCCAGATGAATAGAGCAATCCACTATTGCTCACTTGGTGTTGTGATTGCCCTATTTATAAATGTTTCACTTAGAGTAATGTTAGTAGATTACAACTGCCTGTAGCAATGATTCTGAATACTTACTCTCATATTATAAATTGTTATGTTACGTAAACAAGAGCTATTTTTAAGGAATAACACATTGTGTTTGTCTCTATCTATTGTATACTAACGATTATTAGGTATCAACATGAATATTCATGATTTTTTTTTTCGAGTCATACTATGCCACTAAACCATTCTAACTCAGGACTAAGAACATTGAAACTCTCAACAATTGAGAATACTAATGAAATTAAAAAAAGTAAAACAATTACATCTTTAAAAAAATGAAAGAGTTAAAGTATTTCCATCTATATTGATATATTTCAAGACAAATCAGATTTAGATTAGTTCGGTATGTTTTACTCGAACCATGTCAACAATCAATAAAATATTGATTTTTACACATCAAGCCATGAAAATACTAACTAGAGACGCATTGATAATTGCAATTAAAACATGAGACAAAAAGGATAATCAATGCATTGGGAACATAATCAAACGGTTTACGACAGTATGATATCACCTTAATAAAGATATCAGCATATTTCATTTGAGACATTTCAACTGAACTATGTACAATTTTCAATAATTGTATAGGCAAAAAATGTCAAGTCTGAATTATTCAGACACGAACGAAATGCCTTTGAATGGCTATAATAACTAATCAGAAAGATGAGAATTATGTTTAGAAATATAGTTACTATGAATAGTAAAACTGTAAGTCATATTTCACATAAAAAAAAATTACTAAAGTAATAGTATTTAAACAGATTACTGAAAAAAAAACAACAAATTTTCTAAAAAAGTTGAATGCTTTTAAAATCAACTCGTGTAAACATCTATATTCGGCAATCATAATATTAATAAAAACCTCAATAAAACATCAAAATCTCCTACAACGAAAGATTGAATGAACGATTAATTAATATATCTGTTGAGAAAAACAAAAGCATTGAATTTCTTATAATTAAATTTCACATCAGTCAAAGATTGAACTACACATGACAAATATTATTCGTCACGATTGACATACGTTTTTCATTAAGATAAAAAAACAATTTAGGTTCCTATTAGTCATATACATGGATAAAACTTATGGTAATTGCTATATAATACACATTACTTGGAATATGACTGAATATATTTTGAAGAAAATAAACATTATTATGAAAAATAAAGTGTCATGTATGTAAAATTTTTCGATGCTTTCAACTTATTTGTTGCATATGTTTTTTTCACATTCTCTTCTTTTTCTAGATGACTGTTTACTGTTTGCTAAATGCCATATAATACATTAACAGTAGTGTGATTATTTTAATGGATAACAATTTTGGAAATTTCTTACCTATATTTTTTTTTTAAGTACTTACATTGATCATTATGAAAGTGATGTATTTAAAATTACTTTTGATAAATAAAATAGACAAATATGATATAATGAATATCCATTAAAAGTAGACATTCCTTGATTATGAATAAAATTAAACTGAATGATCATCTTTCATATTCACAATATGAACATTGTTCTTGTAATATCATTTACACTTCTAGCCATTCTTTTATGAACATACGTACCCTATGGTTTCGTATATAGGGAAATAAGTGTGAGAAAATTTGCTAAACAATCAACTCACTTCATTGAATTTTTCAAAATGTCCTCATAGACAAAACTTTTCTTGGTGCTCTACCGACATACTGAAAAATATGGCACCAATATTATGATATGAATATTTTATGTATGTTGTTTGAAAGAGTTTCTATGAACATGACGTAGATTATTGTTTCAAATAAAAACATCAGATGTACCTTTCAAACAATTGAAGTTATACATCATATTATATATTGCAAATTGCTTTTTCTATACCGCCCATTTCAGAAATAATTCAATTTAAAACACTTATACATCGGTAACAATATTCAACAAAAGTTGAAAGTGTTTAACAACCGCTGAAACAATACATGTGCATTGAAATAACAAAACAAAGAATGTTTTTTTTTTGTACATTTTTATATAATGTCCGTATAATCTAATACGCGATTCATTATTTTATTGTGTAGTATTCTTAATCAAAATAGCGTGGATCAAAAGAATATCCTTTTTGAACTTGTATGTTGCTCTATATTTTCATTATTAAAAATAGAATGAGAATAACATTCAAATAATTTTCAAAAAAAAAATGAATTCAAAGGACAATATGAGAACATATAAAAGGACAAAAGAAAAATTATTCTTCGTCAAGGACAAAGAATAACAATTGTTGTTCTATAGAGATTCATTTGATTGCATTCATTTTAGAGAATAGCAATTATCGATCTAAATAACAATTTGAATAAAAACAAAAACACAGGTGAGCAAAATAGATCATTATCAATTTCTAATTGTTTCTATAATTATTAACCTTTGCTTTCAAATAAATATTAACACAATTTCTTTGTTTGAATATCTTAATTAAATAATTTTAATATCAACGATTATAAAAAATTTAATAAACGAAGCCTGTAGTCATATTTTATTCTTTTGTAGAATGTCTGAAGTGCACAACGGTACTGACAATCAAGAATTATTAAAGATGAAAGTAACTGCTCGTGTTACTGAAAATTTTATTATCGTTTGGTTAGATTTGAAATCTGAAACATTGAATGAAAGTGTAATGAATCAACTTCGTAAGATGATCAATTCAATTAATGTATTTTCCGATACAGAACAATGTATTAATTATCTTTCTCAAATTCAACATGAACAAATATTTATGATAGTATC